AGTGAATTTATATCTATTCTATAGTTTGGCGACCAAAACTGAACTGCATAATCTAATGGGGCCTAACCAGAGCAAGATATATAACTGAAGACCACCACCAGGTGCCTTGTTACTAACGCTTCGATTAATAAATCCCAGTGTCCTTGCCTTATTACGTAATTTGTAATTATTTCGTAATTTGCCTTATTACGAACATTCAGGCATTGATCCTTTTGTTTTAAATTTTTACTTATCATAACTCCCAGATCCCTTTCGCAATTCGACTTCGCAATCTCAACACCATCAAGCTCGTATCTTGTAACTATCATCATTATCTAGCCTCAGAACTTTACATTTATCAGCATTAAACTGCATCTGCCAATCTTTTGACCTTATCTAATCTATCCTCTTGAGATGTATCTTATTATCTCGGTAAACTTGGCATCGTATATTCCTGTATGATCTATTGCACTAAAAATAATGTATTGTATCCTCAGTGTCAGTCTTCAAGTCTCGGTTATATCGATACACTTCAAGATGACAACACTAACAATCACTCCTCCCCCCCCACATATTGTATAAACAGGACAGGAGCCACGCTCTCTTTAGTAAATGGGCCACATTCTTAAACGTGGTGCGCCTACTCAAGACCAGAAGCCGGATTCATTAAGCTGTAACGCATCAACTCAAGTAACCTGTACATCTTGTCTTATTCAAGACAGCGTTGCATACATTTATTAAAACAGTATGAGTGCGAAGCGCTAGTAGGTTGTTTATAATAAAACCCTTGGGTTACAAAGTTTCCAAGGTCATAAACCGTTTAATAAATGTAAACAAAGCCAGATTTAAGGAAAGATGAACAGGTTTAAAATAGTTGTGTACATGCTTAATGAATCCTGACCCAGCTCCAGAATCTTCTAAATGATGAGAATCCTAGTTTGATGATTGCTCCTATGTAGGATACCACTAGCCTGTATCCTAATAGTGCTGCGCTATTAGGATACAGGCTAGTGGTAGATGGCCTAGATCCAGGCTAGTGGTAGATGGGCTAGATCCAGGCTAGTGGTAGATGGCCTAGATCCAGGCTAGTGGTAGATGGGCTAGATACAAGCTAGTGGTAGATGGCCTAGATCCAGGCTAGTGGTAGATGGGCTAGATCCAGGCTAGTGGTAGATGGCCTAGATCCAGGCTAGTGGTAGATGGGCTAGATCCAGGCTAGTGGTAGATGGGCTAGATACAAGCTAGTGGTAGATGGCCTAGATCCAGGCTAGTGGTAGATGGGCTAGATCCAGGCTAGTGGTAGATGGCCTAGATCCAGGCTAGTGGTAGATGGGCTAGATACAAGCTAGTGGTAGATGGCCTAGATCCAGGCTAGTGGTAGATGGCCTACTCTGATACTGGATGGCACAAGAAGCATTCCCCTTCCAGCATAATGTCAGCCCCGTCAATGCCATTGATGTTGTATCCAAACAGCGCCTTACGAAGCAACATGTACTTCCAAAATATTTACAATCATTAGGTTACGGTTCATTTGTTAGACGATTCCCCGGCCTTGTCCTAAGGTATTTGCTTTACGTTTTCCAAAATGGCTGCTTTTCAAAAACTGCGTTGACATAAACCTTATTATTTACCAGTAAACAAATGATGCAGGCTTATTAACAACCGATAATCTCTTCAATCTAAAAAAAAAAAAAAAAAAAAAAAAAAAAAAAAAAAAAAAAAAAAAAAAAAAAAAAAAAAAAAAATTACACGAAGAAAAACACCAAGATGGCTACACTTTATTTGAGGGTAACATTTGGTCTGAGAGAGCTTTACCAACGTGCACATGTTAATAAAGCTCAATCGGGAGAAATGTCATGTACAAATAAAGTTCTATCACATCTTGGTCTTTACTACGATGCAAGCACGTTGTGTTCTCTTCAACCCAAAGACATCAACAAAGGGAGGACTATTCAACCTCACGCATATCAATATACGATACTACAAGGTTCCTCTCCGCCATTATCTGTAGACTGTGGTAAAGCAGTCGTCTACAGACTGAAGCAGGTGAGGATTCAACCTTAAACGATTCAAGCTTCAAGCTGATAGCTTAGCATCACTATCAGGGATGTTATATATGACTCGTATGATGCCAGAAAAAATAAATACATTAAACCAATTACGATTATATACACAATCATAAAAATACTACAGAAACAAAATACAACAAACAAATGCTACACATGCTAAACAAACTCCTGCCGTTCACATCATCTCTCTATCTGGACAAGGTGTTCAACAGTGTCTAATTGTGTTGCATATTAAGGTCTTGCAACATTTGAGGCATTATATTATATTATATATATATTATATATATATATATTATATATATTGTATTACATATATTGTATTATATATATTGTATTACATATATTGTATTACATATATTGTATTACATATATTGTATTATATATATTGTATTATATATATTGTATTATATATATTGTATTATATATATTGTATTATATATATTGTATTATATATATTGTATTATATATATTGTATTATATATATTGTATTATATATATTGTATTATATATATTGTATTATATATATTGTATTATATATATTGTATTATATATATTGTATTATATATATTGTATTATATATATTGTATTATATATATTGTATTATATATATTGTATTATATATATTGTATATTATATATATATATAATAATTATAGTAGTAGTAGTAGTAGTAGTAGGAGGAGGAGGAGGCAGCGTAGCCCGTGCCACCTCTTGGGTGGCTTAATCTTTATCAATCAATCGAGGCAGCGTAGCTTTCAACTGAAGGATGAGCCATGTTAGCAGTCTATGAGAGGCTTCAGTGGTTAGAGTAGCGTCTGACGACAGTTGGAGAGGGGTACACAACCGACATTTTTCTGGTACCATCATCTAAGTGAAGGTTTTAGAGAAACCTACTGAATTTTTTAAGGAAACCTTCTACTGAAGGTTTTAGGGGAAACCTTCTACTGAAGGTTTTAGGGGAAACCTTCTACTGAAGGTTTCCCTTACAGAGATGAAACTTGGCAGCAGCAGATCAGTAACTCAAGGTTAGACGTAAAGTTAGGTCAACATTTTGAGTTAAGAAAATTTCCTTTTTAATGTACCAAGAGCCCAAGATGCTGAGGTGACGCTACAGCATCGTATGAGAGGAAATATTCTAACCCAGCGTCCAAAAATTATAGTACTAATGACCACTATTGCTCGAAAGTACAAATATGAACTGTTGCACTTGAAAATATCAGTTTTGTACTATTGGTATACATAATATATATAATTGCGTGTCTAAGTACCGAGTGGCACAGTACCCATGAGTAACGTCCACTCAACGGTACTCTTGGCTACTGTGCTCACTGTGAGGCGGAACAGTACCTCTACAAACTAACCAAACCTGTCCTAGGCTGAAACAAGTAATCCTAGATTACACACAGAAATCACAATAGCGTGATGCATCAATGAACAAGTAATTTGTTAATTACAATCATGTACTAAGATTTAAGTAATCCTAGCTCTAATATACGCCATCTTTGACCTAATTTAATGTAAAACATGTGCTATTATAGGCCTTGAAAAGTTTAGATTTGGTTGTTGCCGTGTTCCTCGTGCCCTCTACAAAATTAATAGTACAAAAGGTTAATTTTCTTGGATAGAACAGTTCATATTTGTATGTTCAACCAATAGTGGCAGCAGGTTCTATAATTTGTGCATGACTAAATATTCTGGGCTAGGGTAAAAAAAAAAAAAAGAAAAAAAAATATACGTCGAGGTAAATTAACTGATTAGAACTATAAATAACTATTTTAGACAATAGTAGACCCTACAGCCTAAGTGAATGGAACTATTTTAAACCGTAAGAGAATATAATCCCCAAATGTAACATTTGTACATAGGTTTCGCCTGAAAAAACTTAGGCACAAACGACACTTGATAAAGCCATTATCAGATCTAATGTCATATACAAATAAACCTCTCTCTCATCTTGGCCTTCCTCTACATCATAGGCAGCACCTTGTCATCCCTCCAGCCTTAAGACGCTGCCCAACTTCTTGTAAGCGCCCTTGGCACTCACCAAGGTCCAGATGACAAGTCTGATGCAACTCATGCCTAGGATATTAGGGGGAACAGTGTTGTGGGTAGATGATGATGTTTAAGATTCGTTACCTAGAACAAAAAGTTCCAAGTAGCACGGGCTATGGTGAGCCCGTAGGTCGGTAGCGAGATACACTACCCATATACAGACACCAGTAGTCCACATCTGTCATTCCATTTCGGCATTAGTGGAAGTTGTTACTTGAATCTTTGGCAATGTCTTCCACACTGCCAATTTACGTCAAAAATATAATAAACACTGCTTTCCATAACTACAGATTGGCATTATAAGCCTATGATGATAGGCCTGCCTCAGTAGCATACTCGGCTTGTAAACACCACACGCTGGCTGCCACAACTTAACACACGTCGTTATACGTAAATCGTCTATTTTGCAAGTACTGCGTTTCAAATAAAGAAGTGGTATTTTATAAACAATGGATGATAATTAATGGTTGGGACATGCATCTACAGGGATGAAAAATATAAACATTGTGTCAAACTTTCCAAAACAAAGTTTGTTTCATTTTCTAGTTAGCCATTAAAAGCTTCTTCGGTTTTCTGTTAAACATTTCATGGCAATAGAAAACGAAACTTGTTGTAATATACAAATTTAAATCAGGTAAATACGTTAATATAGATGCGAATTCTAAAGATAAATACATTACAAGACCGTTCAATGGCGAGAAGCAGGAGGCAGCACTGACATGCAGACTTCTTAGGAGGTAAAACTTGGCATACTTCTTGTTGCAAACTCAGGAAGCAAGTTGAAGATCCAAGATCACATGCATATGAGATACAGCTCAAAATTACACCAAATGTTGTGTGTTTAGTATCAAATGCATATTAGTGGCAGCATTATGTACAACATTAAGCATGCAAGTCTAACCTTGAGTTTCCCTTAGCAACCTAGTAACTTTTGGAACCTTCCTAGTAGCGTGGGTGCCGGGGAGGGGTGGGGTCGAGCCGGCGTCCAAGGGGGCAGGGGATTCGTCTGAAGTTGAGGCCCAACCTAAATAGCAACCACCACCACCACAGCCACCACCACAGAAAAATGAGGAGGGGAAGCACTATGTGAGATTGCTGAAGTCAAAATATTAAAATACGTATTCTAAATTTGTCTTGTTCCTCAATTACATGATATTTGTAATATGTTGTAGTTATAAACCCCAAACAGCAACTTGTGTATTTTTATCCATCAACACCTATTCCCTAGGTTTACATTTCATAAAATACTAACATTTCCAACGTGTCAACTTACTGGTAACGGTGATTGACCTCTCGGGGTCGTAGCTGAGAATCACAGAGCCTGGCACGACTGTATCAGACTCGTTCTGATCGTCGACCTCATCAGAGTCCGTAAGGTATATCGGGTTGATCTGATACATGTCCCTGAATGTCCTAAAACTATAATCCACCGGATTCACTCTCTCGGGGGTGGACTCTACACTGCCCTCGAGTCTCAGCGCTCGCAAACCCTCCGCGACGTCACGATGCAACTTCTCGGGCAACATTTCCTCAACTTGGTACGACTCGTAGGCTAAGTCCGGGGCATTGTAGATTGGGGAGGCAGATTCTTCACGGGGAGGAGACCGGGATCGGGATCTAGAGAGAGACATTTCATCCGAGCCTTGAACCCCGGAACTGGACGCTGGCGAGGACCCGGGTAACGGGGAGTCGTCCCGTGCAGCATGATGGTCGTCTGCTGGCACCCCACCCACTCCTTCCTCCCTCGTGTTGACACCTGGAGGTCGGGGTCTTTCACGTTGTAGCCGAGGGCCGACAATTTCATTAATCCTTGACCTAATGTCTTGGGAGTTTCCTTCACAGTCTCCACATGCATTTTCCGGACTCCTTTTCATGGTGTTCTTCAATTCGGGTTTCATCTGTCCGTCAGCTTCCACACCCTTTTTCACGCCATCATCTAACGAAACACCCCCCCAGTCATCACTCAACAGTGGTGGCACACACAGCTGCTCATTACTACTACATAAATCCCCTTTATTCATATCGTTACCTATAACAATTGTTGTCAGACGAGAGGCGTCAGTAGCGTTACCTGGACCACAAGAACATGGACCCTGGTAAACAATTTCGTCAGAGATCAGTGGTGAGATCTTAGCATCCTCGCCAACGTTGGCAAACGTTAAACCACTCGCTCCCGGAGAGGAAGGACGCTGCACATAATCACGAACCCTTTCTCTAGCGTTGCAACTCAAACCATCTTTATTCGACTCTGATTCTGAATCAGTATCATATGCATATACAAGATTTAATCTTTGTGTGCCTACAATATCTGGGAAAGAATGAACGTAGTCAAAATGATCACTTACATTATCCGTACATAAACTAGGTTGAGCATCGCTGTAAGCGTGGTCTTCACTACCACTTGCGCTGATTACAAAGGAACCACTATTTTGTTGGAGATCGTCAGGCTCGCCTTTGTAAATGGTGGACAAGTTTTGTGAATTACACTTTTCCGCGCCACTTTCTGACCTGGCCGTCTGCTCTCTCTCACTGATATCATCAGTTTGATAAAGACTGGCTTCCTCGCTGGATTCACTATCAGCAACATATTCGGTTAAGACCTCTAAAGGCGACGCCACTGTACATGCCTTGACGATATAAAAGTCGTCGCTCTCTGCTGGTGAAGTGTCAGATGAGCTGTCGTCCCCACTGGCCCCAGTCACATGGATGGCCACACCTGGCTGGTCTTCAGGGTCGGTGGGGGTGACGCTCTCACCATCCTCACCTCTCACCACTCCTCTCACCCCGGGCAATGGTCTAGTTCCTTCTTCACAATCGGCCCACTCGCTCTCCAAGCTCTCAGAGTCTGTGTTCTTTACAGCAATGACGGTAAAGCGAGAGCAAGGGGTGTCTGCTGCTACCAGGGGAGGGGTGTCTGCTGCCACCAGGGGAGGGGTGTCTGCTGCCACCAGGGGAGGGGTGTCTGCTGCCACCAGGGGAGGGGTGTCTGCTGCCACCAGGGGAGGGGTGTCTGCTGCCACCAGGGGAGGGGTGTCTGCTGCCACCAGGGGAGGGGTGTCTGCTGCCACCAGGGGAGGGGTGTCTGCTGCCACCAGGGGAGGGGTGTCTGCTGCCACCAGGGGAGGGGTGTCTGCTGCCCCCAGGGGAGGGGTGTCTGCTGCCACCAGGGGAGGGGTGTCTGCTGCCACCAGGGGAGGGGTGTCTGCTGCCACCAGGGGAGGCGTGTCTGCTGCCACCAGGGAAGGCGTGTCTGCTGCCACCAGGGGAGGCGTGTCTGCTGCCACCAGGGAAGGCGTGTCTGCTGCCTCCAGGGAAGGCGTGTCTGCTGCCTCCAGGGGAGGAGTGTCTGCTGCCACCAGGGGAGGAGTGTCTGCTGCCACCAGGGGAGGAGTGTCTGCTGCCTCCAGGGGAGGCGTGTCTGCTGCCTCTAGGGGAGGCGTGTCTGCTGCCTCCAGGGGAGGAGTGTCTGCTGCCTCCAGGGGAGGCGTGTCTGCTGCCACCAGGGGAGGCGTGTCCACTGCCACCAGGGGAGGCGTGTCTGCTGCCACCAGGGGAGGCGTGTCTGCTGCCACCAGGGGAGGCGTGTCTGCTGCCACCAGGGGAGGAGTGTCTGCTGCCACCAGGGGAGGCGTGTCCGCTGCCACCAGGGGAGGCGTGTCCACTGCCACCAGGGGAGGCGTGTCTGCTGCCACCAGGGGAGGCGTGTCTGCTGCCACCAGGGGAGGGGTGTCTGCTGCCACCAGGGGAGGCGTGTCTGCTGCCACCAGGGGAGGCGTGTCCACTGCCACCAGGGGAGGCGTGTCTGCTGCCACCAGGGGAGGCGTGTCTGCTGCCACCAGGGGAGGCGTGTCTGCTGCCACCAGGGGAGGGGTGTCTGCTGCCACCAGGTCTGCACAGCCCGCTGCAACATCAAAGACGCACAACTTGCTGTGAGACAATGTTAATGGATTTCCATGTTGAGCTTTGAACGTTTGTGTCTTTTCTTTCCAAGTTTTCCCGCGCACAAGTTTTGGCCTCTCGAGCACGTGGGCAGGTTTGACCACTGACTCCGCCTTTGCTTCTCTCTTGTTTTTCTTACCTTTCTTTTTCCCACTTTTCTTTCCGCTTATCTTCTCCTTTTCCTTGCCACTTTCTGAATTACCAATACATTTCCCATCCTCTGGGACGTCGGGTGATGGCGAGAGGTCCCCAACCTTATTACTCACACCACCTTCCTCTGATGTTGGGCTTAGGTGTTCCGTATCCGGTTCCGTTACTAACACCTTGCCATCGCATCCTTCTGTGGTCTTCTGAGCCTCGCCCTCATTTGCTAATAGTTTCTCACTCAAACTCTGAGGCTCGTCATCACTGTGGTCGGAAGTGCCAACACATTTGTCTTCACACGGCACTAGTTCGCCTTCAGACTCTGTTTCCGAGCCATAAGCAGTAGCAGATTTTTTATCACGGCATTCATAGCCTATGGAGACCTGAGGTGACTGCTCCCTGTCTATTGGCGCCTCCTGAGATAGATACCTTTCTTCTGAGACGAGATGTCCCTCTAAAGTCTCAGTATCAGGAGTCGACTTCAGTTCCCCTTCTACTGTCTCTTCTTTAGCATTAACAATAGGGCTGACAGACGGGTCTAAAGGCGGGGCCTCGTTTTCTTGGTCATCCATAAGAGCAAGAAAGACGGCTTGAAGATCCTCCTTAGTGATGAGGTCGTCACTGTCGTCACCGTAATCGTCCATCAGGCTGGGTTCTACCACAACTGTGTAGTTCACTGGTCCCACGTGTTGCCACGCCTCGTCTTCCAGGCTCCCATCTCCACCAATCAGACGAGGGATGTCACCAACAGTTCCAGGAGCACTGCCGCGAGGTTCCGTCTCCCATTTATCATCTTCGTTCCCTTCACCATTTTCTTCCTCAGAGCTGTCAATGAACGGTATAACATTCCTGCCATTGCCGCCGTCGTAGGGTTGTTTGTAATTTAATTTAACATTACTAACACTTACAACACTTGCCGTCAAGCCACTGGCATCGTTATCAAGTTCTGGTGTTCCCTCTTTCCTAAATGGTGAAATACTTTCCGAATTTGTGTGTAGTTTTTCCGATTCACTGATGTCGGGTACATTCCTGTGATGAGCATCCTGATCTACACAGGCATAAGCAGGAGAACAGATGAATGAGGTACTGATGCTGTAGTCTTGAGCGTCGCCTGCTTCCCCTATGTGACCCCACGGCACAGCACCATCTCCCACATGAATAAAATCACCGATACCTTCCAACTGTAACTCTCCGTCACAATCAATAAGATCTTCATGATTAATGGTATATTTCGTCCCACTTGTCTCCGCCTCACAGTCACTGATGTCTTCCCAACTCTCAATCACCTTCTCCTCCTTGGCTTTGCTGTATTTACAATTTTCACTAATACTGTCGAGATCGAAGGTCACCCTCAACCCTTTGCCGGACTTTTTCTTATTTCTAGATCTGGGCGCCTTCAAGACACCTTTTCCATTCACAGATGCCAGGTGGCCTTCTGTGGCAGGTGTGGGGGGCTGGGGTGGAGTGACTGGGGAAGGGGGTTGTGTGTTGTTGACTGGGAAAGAGGGGTCGGCCTGGCGCCTGCCCTCACGGGCTCTATCTCGCCTGGCCGCCATCACCAACGTTCACTGACAAGAGGTCACTTCACAACAGCAAAGAGGCTAGCCTCGTTATGTCAAACTTAACACTGGTCAAAAACCACTACACAATAATATCACTGATATGTCTAATGGAAGATAATTTCAGTCTTAAAATTACATCCTTTTTTCCGAAATTCACACAAATTAAAATTTATATTTCAGTAATGTGTGAATGTGAATACGCGGCACTGCCACCAGCCCTCGTGTTGCTGAGGATGACCCAGTGTGAGGAGTGGTCTCCAGGGGCCTGGTCGCCAGGGGCCTGGTCGCCAGGGGGCCTGGTCGCCAGCAGCACACGGTAACCTGCTAGCGGGCACGGTGACGACACTCACCAGTCACTGTTTATAGCCTCCCTTCCAAC